AATTTCTAACTTAGCAACGAGTGCCGGAACATCTGTCTTATTATTACCAGCATTTCAAGCCGCTTGTTGGGCGGGCGTTCCCGTTGGATAAGTATTCGCAATCGTTTTTAAAGCCGCTAACTTAGTAGCGATTTCTTGGGCGTTAGTTTCCTTTAAGGCTAAAGCCGTAGTAATTTCTAACTTAGCAACGAGTGCCGGAACATCTGTCTTATTATTACCAGCATTTCAAGCCGCTTGTTGGGCGGGCGTTCCCGTTGGATAAGTATTCGCAATCGTTTTTAAAGCCGCTAACTTAGTAGCGATTTCTTGGGCGTTAGTTTCCTTTAAGGCTAAAGCCGTAGTAATTTGATTAGCTTCCGCACTATTAAGAATTTCCCAACCCTTATGGTAAGCAAGAATTTTTTTTATGCCATTTAAAGGGGGTTTTTTTTTATCTAGTTTGTAAGCCTTAATATCAGATCCATCAGACACGATATCAATTGGAAGGTAACCTAATCTGTGTAACTCTTGAACTGCGGCAGGAGTTAAACGGTTGCCAATATCTACTCCGTCCGCCAAAAGCATGCTGTTTCAGTCAAGCCAAGCATCAATAAAGACATTATCCCGCGGAGATTGTAAATTATCCCTAATAAATTCATTACCGTTGACACCCCTGGCACTAAAAGGTCCCAAACCCGATCCGTTTCCTTGACTATGGTTGATAACTTTGTCCTTATTAAAAGCATCTCGTCAATCTTTATACTTATTCAATTTACTAATCTCAGTCATTCCAACTAAACTAGCACCAGTAACGGGATGGAATGCTTTGACACCATTTATATCACCACTATTAAAAATCTCGTGAGGGTTTAAACCATAACTATACAGATACCGAACAGTAAACGGACATAAATTTTCATTATCAATTTTTTGTGCCTCTCGTCTTTCTAACCAAGCATCAATAATCTCAATCTTTCCAAGGTCATCCGTCTTTCCTCCAACCACGCCATTTCTCAATAAATCGCCCCGCGTGCCTTTATCAGGATCAACAGGCTTAATCCCATCAACGTCCTTTCCACCATTAGAAGCATCTCTAAAAGCATTTCTTCATACATCGTATTTAAAAATTTTTCCTAAAACTTCGGAAAGAGAAAAATGTCATGTATTACCTTTATTCGCAAGATTAGGAGTAACAACATTATCTACATGGATATTATTCACATAGACAGCCAAATCACTTGGTAATTCATCTATTCCTCAACGATGAACATTTCAAGGTCTAAATCCTTGGGTAAACAACTTTCCCATTATGTAACCAGCTTCTTCATCGGTTATGTAATTAGGTTTGTCATCACTTCCTCAATTTTCCACAACATTAACCTTATTAATTTCCTTTTGACGAACTGTGCCATGGTTTAAAGCCTTCACTTTTAAAGTAAATAAACTAGTAGGGTTTCCTAAACCGGTCGCACTCCGCAGATTAGTTAGGGGAATATTTCAGTTAACTAATTTATTACTATTATCGTTATTATTATCATCCTCGGTTAAAGAAGTTCCCATTAAAACATCTCATCAAGCATCAATCATCACACTACCCCTTATATTATTCTGATGCTCAGGATAATCATATTTATAATTTAACATCTCTGTTGAACCAAGAACTTTATCTAATGCTTTGTGTCTAGGATATATTTGCTGCCTTGTCTTAGTATCATTAGCAGTCAATTCTGCCACTGCCTGTTTAAATGCGTTACCGAATTCTCTTATTCCCATATGTATATGATAATATAGTATTTTACAAACTTTTGAGAGACAATCTTTTGGTCTTAGAATTAGTGCTGGGTGATGGGGAACTTCCATATAACAACTAATATCTAGCAACTAGACACTAAAAAGGATATAACCGCTAGATTAAAATGCATAATATAAAAATGAACGAAAATATTTATTTAAAGTGTCCGATTAGAGGAGAATTAAAAGTTAAAAAATATGATGCCAAGGGTAATTATACTGAGGAATATTGAAGAATAGAATTAATTAAATTTCTACTTAATAAGGGATATCAAAAACAAGAAATAAAAGTAGAACATGCAGTTAAGTTTGGAAATCCTGAAAAAGATAGATTAATTGCTGATGTTTGCGTTTTTAAAGGCGATTTAGTTTATATTGTCGGTGAAGTAAAAAAACATAAGGATTCAAAAAAAAAATGCTGTGGAACATCAATTAAAACCAGCCATGAATCTTACGAAGGCTGAATATGGAATTTATTTTGATGGTGGCGAAAATGAACTTCATTACCAAGGAAACATTTATCCGATTAATAAATTACCAAAAAAAGGACACTCCTGAGAACAAATTGGTCTCAAATTTGGTGATTTAAGAAAAATAACTGATGTTAGTTTATTATATGATAGATTAGACCAAATTATGCATAACTATGGGTTAAGTAAAGAAAAAAGATACAGCGGTCTTTTTCAGGTTCTAATTATGAAATATTATGATGAAAAGTTTAGCGAAAGAGAAAATCTTTCTTTTCAACTATTTCCTAATAGTAGCCATCAAGAAAATCTTGTCCGAATTAAGTCCCTTTATCAAAAGGCAAAATCATATTATTCAGTCGGTTCCTCGATTAATTTCGACAAAGAATTAATTTTAAGTGAAACTATTGTTATAAACTTGGTTAAATATTTACAAGAATATTCATTTATTAAGTCAGACATTTCGATAATTCAAGACTTTTTTATGAAATTTGGAAAGGAATTTTTAAAAAAAGACTTATCTCAATACTATACCCCATTGCCAGTAGTTAAGTTTATTTCATCAATTTTAGATATTAGACCTAACCAATTAGTAATAGACCCCGCTGGCGGTAGTGCTGATTTCTTAGTAGGTATTCTAGAAAAATATAAAACTTCACCATATCTAAATGACTATAACACTAACCTTTTTTACTGAGACATTTCCGAAGATGCCCATAAAGTAGCCCACATAAATATGATTTTACACGGTGATGGAAGAGGAAAAATGAATGTGTTAGATAGTATAGAAGAGTATGATAAAATGGATGAAAAATTTGATTTTTGTATTACTAATCCGCCTTTTGGTGACAAGACCATCTGGCAAAAGGATGAAAAACTTTTAGAAAAAGATGGAAATAGAGTTTATTCTTTATCTGCTTATTCTTATCAGTTAGGAATTTTATTTATTGAAAGAACAATTAACTTGCTGAAAGAAGACGGAATTTTGGTTATTATTTTGCCTTCGGGGTACTTAAATAATCAAAGTTTAAAATATATAAGAGAATATCTTCTTAAATATAGAATTATTGCTGATATTTCTTTACCCGAAGGAGTATTTAAAGGTGCTGGAACAGGAGTAAAAACAGACATCTTGATTATGAAAAAAGAGATAAATCCTCCGCAAAATTACAAAATTTTCGTATCCTCCCCCAAAAAACTTGGTTTTAATTATCGTAGTAAGAAACTTGAAACTATATACAAAATTGATAAAAATAGTGGTGAGTATCTTCAAAGCAGCGAGAATACCAATATTCCTGATGATGAGTTAAATGAAGCGGTGGTTGAGAAATTTAAAAAATTTTGTTGCGATGAAAACTTAGAAGGATTTGAGAAGTATAAAGTGGAGGATGAGTCTAATTCTAAATTAGAAACTTACGATTTTTTAAGGTTAGAAGAATTAAAAAAGGATGAAAATTACAAACTAAAGCCCGAACTTTTTCTTAATTCTTTTCGAGAACATATGAATAAACTTGTCAATAAGAAAGCAATAACTTTACGAGAACTTTTAAATGCTGGGGAAGCAATATCAGTTGAAAATAAACGCTCTATTGAAGTTAAAGACTCTGCTGAATATTGATATATTGATATCGGTAATTCTTCCCGAGGAGACTACTCATTGGAGAACCTTAAAAAAGGATGAGAAATAAAAAAAATTGACCGTGCTAGGCAGTCGATTAAAAAATATGATATTTGTCTAAGTTATCTTTTAGGAAGTAGAGATAAATTTTTTATGATGTTAGAAGACAAAACAGAAAATATTGTAGTGACTAATGGATTTTATCGAGTTAGGATAGCAGATGAAAAAACACAATTATCATTTTTTGCTTTTCTATTTTCAAAATCTTTTGAAACTCAGTTTGAAGCATTTGCTACCGGTCATATTCAAACTAATATAGTGCCGGAAAGAGTTTGAGATTTTAGGTTTCCTCTGTTAAGCGAGAAAGAGGTTAAAAATTGGAAAGACTATTTGGTTCAGGGTGAGAAGTTAAAAAAAGAAATTAAATTACTTATGAAAAAATTAGAAGCAGTTTTTAAATAATTACAATGACAATTATCGCTTCTATCTCTCAAAACTACAATGTTAGAAATTAATGATAGTTTTTTTTAATTTAGTTTTAGTTAATTTTTTCTTTTCTATCAAAATAAGTAGTGCAATGTCAAAAGTACTTACTTAATCTTTGCTTTGCTTTAGTAAATAATATGGTTTTGCTATCACTTTTTTTACTCTCGCTTTCATATAATTTTTATAAGTTTTTTTCAATAGTTTCTTGGTCTTTAAACAAAACCATCAATTTTTCTGTATCTCTTGGTTCCTTTCATTGCCGATTACTAATAATTATGATATTTTTTCGGTTCTGAAAAACTTTTTGACAAATATTTTGATACTCCAATTTATAAGTTTTCGCCAAAAAAGAAGTGTGATTATCACCCGCAGTTTTTAACAAAATAACGTCATCATCCAACACTAATAATAACTCAGTATCCGAGAAAAAATTAGGTCTCTTAACAATCACTTCTTTTCACTGATTTTTCTCAATTTTAAATCTATTTTCGGTTAAGTTATTTTCTTTTATTCAAGTAAATAAATCATTCGCATTAATATAACATAAATAAAACTTATCACTTAATTTCATATATTTTTAACTTTCTTCTATAATAATTTCTCTTCTTCCCTAACAAAATAAACATTATTTACCAAATTAAACTCAGTAATTTCTAACTTGCTCGTCTTAAAACCATCACTCAAAGATTTAATATCCTCAAGGACATTGTTCCTGTTCTCTTTTAAATAATTAAAAACATAGTTCTTTTTTTTCTCATCATAAAAAGTTAGAGTATATATCGCTGGAGAAACTTTATAATCTTTCTTAGCAATAACTATTTGCCCTGCTCAAGTCGAGGAAGCAAGTTTAGAAAACAACAAATCTCCTTCTTTAACTAACCTTCAAGATTTACTATCAGTTTTTAATTTTCCTTTAATCTCGTTTTCTTTTAAATTGCCAATTTCAATATACTCTAAGAAACCAGTAATTTCTTTCTTAAAATAAACCTCCATTCCACCTTTGTAAAGGTCAGAGATTCTCCTCATAAAACTTTCTGGAGTATCATTTTTATCGATAAATTGAAATTCTAAACCATTAAAAACTTTTGGGTTATTTCTTATTCCAAATTCTCTATTTCCTCCCTTTTCATCAAACACTTTAACAACAAAAAGATTAATAAGTTTATCAAAAGCATTAGATTTATCAGAAACCGAATTAACTCTTAAAATTTCTAGGAATTTTTTAAATAAAACTTTTGAATCATTTTCTTGGAGTTTCTTTAAATCTTCGACTTTCTTCTCGCTGATTTCAATACCAAATTTTGGTTTTAAAAGTAAATTAGTTTCATCAAATTTTTTAGATAACTTTCATCTTTCATATAAATCGTCAACAGAAGTTGCTTTTGCTAAATAATCGTTATCCTTGTCCCGAATTATTATATTATAAAAAACGTTTTTTTTAGTTTTTAAATCAAAAGTATAATAAGAACCAATCTCAACCAACTTGTCTTGATATAAGTAAGAAAAGAGTTGTCTTTTTTCCTTTTTAATATTTTCGCCAATGTAGTCTTTTACAGTCTTAGGAGTTTTTACCTCAATCATTCAATAAGTCTTGTTATCTTTTTCGATTATAATATCAGCAAAACCTTTAGTATGACCCACTTGAAAACCTCTTTCAAAGTTTATATCACTAGAACAATAACCAACTTTTAAAAGTTCTAAAATTAAGATTAGTTTTATAATGTTTTCTTCATTCGTAAGATTTCAAACTTTCCTATTTTCAACTTCCTTTTCCTTTCAAGTTCATTTACTAAACTGTTTATTTTCATCTAAGTAGATAGAGATACTATTGTTGTTTTTGTTGTACTGATACTCTATTTCATTGATTTCTTTGAAACCAAAATCACAAATATAAGAAAGATATTTCTCGTTTTTTTCCATATCACTATTTTTCTTTATTAAAAATTTCAGTAATCTCTAAGATAAGCCTTAATTTCTTTTAATTTATGAAAATCCTCTCAACAAACATCTCATCTTTTAATAGTTAATCATTTTTCTCCAAGTTGTCTCACTCTGCTGTTTCTTCATTTTTTTCTCTATCTCGAACTGTTAATTCATAGTCTTACTTTCAAACTTCAGTTTTGGCTTTGATTAAGGAAGTTGATTAATTTTTACCTCTTTTTTTAAAGTTCTTTTAAAAACCTTGCTTATCTGCTTATTGTAACTGATTCATGATAACACCAAAATTTTACTTGCTAAGCGTTACGAAAATCTCTCTATATTTTAACTTAAATTACCTATATTCCACTAAAGCACGTATCAATGGCTTTTCTTTTTTTCAATTAATCAACAATTCATTTTCAACATATTTTTTTAATTCTTCGACTAAAAGCAAATCTTTTCCTCTACTCTTCACTTGTTCATTAATTTTGTTTTTCCAACCATCAATTAAATCACCATGTTTTTTCATGTTAATAAATCCATAAGTAAAGATATAAGGAGGCTCGGCTAATTGCTCCTTTTTTTTATCGTAAAAAATCAAAACTAAAATTAATCCACCTCGCGACATTTTTTTTCTTATTTCAATACTACTTTCTAATTCTTTAACTGGAAGCAATTTGCGGTTAAATACATAATTAGGATATACTAAAATCTTTGTTCCACTTAAAAAAAACTCCTTACCTTTTGCTTCAACCACTTCTCCGTTTTGACAAACAAAGATATTTTTTTCTGGCATTCCCATCTCCTTAGCTAAATGTCCGTGTTTTTTCAACATGCGAAAGTCACCGTGAAAGGGCATAAAATAAGTAGGGTTAACTAACTTTAACATTAACCGCAAGTCCTCTTGGCAAGCATGACCAGAAGCATGGATTAAATTCTCTCCTCCATTCTCATATATTTTAGCTCCTAATTCAAATAATTTATTGTTAATTATTTCCACATTTAGTTTGTTATCCATAATGGGTGAAGAAGTCAAAATAATCGAATCCCCTGGTTCAACTTTTCAATCAGGATAATTCTGATGCGCTAAACGACTAAGAACTGCTTTCTCTTCACCTTGTGAGCCAGTACAAAAGATAATCAATTTGTTATTAGGAGTCTTGCTGATGGCAGCAGCTTTTAAAAAAACAGAACTATCTAGTTTTCATAAACTCGCTTTGTTGATAGCCTTTATCATTTTTAATAAAGAAGAACCTAGTAAAACAATTTTTTTTTTGCTCTCTTCGGCAATTTTAATAATTTCTTTCAAACGATATACATTTGAAGCAAAAGAAGTAATGATCACTCTTCCGGTGGCCTCAAAAATAATATTTCGCAAACGCTTAATTACCTTTGTTTCTGAAGGAGTATTACCTTCCACTTCGGCATTGGTTGAATCACTAAGCAGCAAATCAACCCCTTTTTTTCCATATTCAGTTAATTTAAATAGATCGGTTTTTTCTCCAATCTCAGTCCAATCAAATTTAAAATCTCCTGTGACTACTATACGAGTGTTATCTTGTAAAACCTCTACAATAAGCCCAAAAGAACCGGGAATCGAATGAGTTACTCGAAAAAAATTAACGCGAAACTCACCAGTGCGAATTACCGTATCATCCCTAAAAATAGTAATTTTTTCTTTACTTTCTTCACTTTTTAATTTCTGCTTCAACAATGAAATGGAAAATTCTGAACCATAAACAGGAATATTTGGTATTAACTGCAATAAATAAGGAATTGCTCCTATATGATCTTCATGTCCATGAGTAATAAACAAGCCTTTTATCTTTTGCCTATTTTGGCACAAGTAAGAAAGATCAGGAATAACCCCATCAACTAAATTATTATTATTGAGAAATTTTACTCCACAATCAATAATAATCATGTCCTCATTCTTTTCTAAAACATAACAATTTTTTCCCACCTCATGCAAACCGCCCAAGGCAAAAACTTTTAAATTAGTATCCATTTTTTTCATTCATTAAGTAATTTGTCTAAAACTTTTAACAAACTTGTTCGTTTGTCAAAAATATTAATTATTTTTATCGATTAAATAATAAAATAAGTAATTCTTCCAATTCCACTTCATGTTCTAAACTTAAATAACTTTTTACCAAGCCACTCAGCCGTCTTTCTACAGCTTTTTTTATTAGTTTACTTGAATCAGACCTTTTAATATCCGGAACCAGTTTAGAATCCCATCAATTTTTTATTTTATGCTCCAACTTAGAAGTATTCAAACACAAACTTACTGCCAAATTCTCGAAACTTATCGCTTTTAATTGCAATTTATTTTCTTTTCATTCAACTGTAAGTAAAATAATCAACAATCCCGACTGACCTAAATTTTCCCGTTGTTTCAATAGCAACTCTTCCAAACTTATTAAAGCTCTTTTTACCTTTAAACAAGAAGTTTTCCGAGTAGAAAAATCTAATGAATAACCATCATTAAGGGTCAAAAACTTGCCCGGTAAATTGGCAAAAAATTTTTCATTTTTGTAACTATTTTGTAAAGCAATTACTCCGGCTGGTTTTAGAAGCTGTATCAATAATTTAAAATCATAAAAACTGGCTCCTAAATTTAGATACTCTTTTTTGCTTAAGTTAGTTATCAATTCGCTGTGAGTATAAAGATAGTCAACTAACCGAGCTAATTGTTCTTCTCCCCCAATTACTGGAGGGGTGCCCACTACGAAATGAAAAGAAGATTTTTTTTCGGCTGAGAAAAAGGACAAATAATGATCTAAATTCTTTCTAAGGTTGCTGGGATTACCAACTAATAAATATACATCAGCCTCTTTTTTTCGATTTTCTTGTTCAATTACCTCACTAAGAGGATTATGGAGCAATATCTTATTCATCAAAAGAAAAAATTCTTCATTCAAAAGACAAACTTTTTTCCCTCAATTTTTCATTATCGTTAACAACTCAAAAATGTGAAGCCAGTCAAAGTCATAAAAGAGAAAAAACAAAGGCTTACTTTGCTTTGGAAAATTTCCGGTAGCAAAAATAAGCGAATTCTTATTTTGTCAATGAAGACCTTGACAACTAGTAATCAAAAAAGCGTCTCGCTTCTTATTTTGTAAAAATTGCTGAAAATCAGCAAGAAAACTAGGAGAAAAAAGGAGATTATTATTTAAAATACTGTTGAAAACAAAAGCTTCTAAAAAATAAAAACTGTACTGAAAACAATTGACGGCTAAAACTAAATTACCAATTAAATAACTATTAAGGGGGAAGAAACTCAATAAAAATTCATCTACTTTTGCTTCATGATTCTTTTCAATATTTAATATTTTGCTTTTAAGTTGAGGGAAAAGATAAGAAATAATTAATTTACTATGAAAACTAGTATAGAGAGGAACGCTAGGACCTAAAATTTGACAAATATCTTCCAACAAACCAACATTTTGAAAGTTAGTATTGCTAATCACAATTGCTTTAACTTTATAGCAATTTTCCTTTAAATAGTCAAGTCCAACTTGCTGCTCTCGAAAATTAGCCAGCGAGTAACCTTTACCAGTTGCGATTACAAGAATACTTTTTTCCGTTTCTAGTAAATAAAAATTACCCTCATTTTCTCAACTACCACTAAAAAGTAAAAAACGAACTGACATCTCCTTATTTATTTTACGCTAATGATTTGGATCTTATAAGAATTTTCTTTGGTACGAACTTCGCTAACTTCTCCTTCTTTTTTATTCATTAAAGCTAGACCAAGCGGACTATTAATCGAAATCCGACCTTGATTCGGATCAGCAATTCATTCTTCAGTTAACTCAACTTCCTTTTCTTCATTACTTGCTAATAGTCGATAAGTAACTAAAACTTTCGGCTCAGTTTTATTTTTTGCTAAAAGCAACTTATTTTTTAAGAAAAAGTACTGCCCTTGCAAACTTTCTAATTCTTCATCGAGAATGTTCCAATCAGCATTTTCTTTTCGATCCCCATCTAATCGTGCCATTTTTAACTTATTTCGAGCAACCTCTATTTTTTTTTCTAATTCTAACAGGCGTTGCGACAAAATCTCGTAAGCCCCATTCTTTTTACTCTCGTTCATATCATAATAAATTAACAATCTAAACCTATTCTATTCCGTAAAGATTAAAATCGGTAATAGTTCTTGTTCCCTTGTAAAGTTGAAGTTTCTTCTTTTTTTCGTCTTGAAAAAAAGTTACTAAATCTTTTTTGTTGTATCAACAAGTAACTTCCTCCACTAATAAATAAATTTCTGGTTTAATCTGTTTATTAACTAATAATACTTTTTTTACTGGATTTGTAGTAATCTTAACTACTTTTTTAGTTCTTTGTAATTGACACTCAGTGCATTCTCGAATCTCCTGATTAATGGCCTGGAAGCGCGAACATTTAACTCGATTTCTCAAAGACTGTTGCCTTAACTCGTGGTACTCCTTTTCATATTTTTTAATTGTTTCCAACCTAACCCCTTTTTTAGTTTTAACTTTATCTATTTTTTCTTTTAAAGTTTTCATTTCGAGTTTTTTTTTATCACAACAATTATCTTGCTCGTGAGCAAATTTTAAGTCTTCGTGCTTGCTACAATTTTTTCGACAATCAGCACACGGTTCACTTCTTTTTTTAGTCTTTTCATTAACATATCCTTTAATTTTTTTCTTTGTCTGCTCTAATTCAAATCTTCGCTTTTTAAGTTTTTCTTCTCACTCTTTTCTTGCTTGACGAGCAACCGCCAATTCCTGCTCATATTTATCAATTACTTCAGTATTTACTGCTTCGGTTCTAGCTTTATTTAATATATTTTCTAATTCAGTAACTTCACTTTGCTTATCTCTAACTCTTTCTCGCGCATTTTCCCGCTTCTCCTCTAGTTTAGTTACCAAGCTTTCATGCTTAGCGCAATAAGGAGAAACACGCTTTTCGGTTATTTCAAACCTCTTTTCCCCTTTTCCACTTCTCCTTTTAGCTAATTTGAAAAAGGATGGTAATGGTTTTTTGATTGCTATCTTATCTTCACGAACAGCTAGCAAATTGAGGTTTTCCTTTACAAATTCTTTATCTATCACCAGCAAACTAACCATTTCATCTTGAATTTGATCAGATGCAATTGGTATTATCTTATTACAATCCGCACACTCTCTTTTTTGTTTATTTATCTCTTTCATCCGCGGACACTGTAATTGCGCGCCTAGTCGAGTTTTATCACAACATGGAGCAACTTTATGCTGTTCAAGAAGAGTTTGATGAACAGGACACCGAATTTTTTTACCACTGTCAATCAACTTAATTACTGTATCACCATAAGCTGCTCGACCAAAAATTCGTAATTTTTCTTCAGCAATATTTCGACTTTTACCTTGCTTAGTAAATACCGCTATAACATCTTGACCTGAAGTAAAGGATACTTGACTAATTTCATCCTTATATTTAACTAAATTAATTATCCTTTTTCCACTGCCCAAAACTCGACCAATTTTTTCTAAAGGTAATCGCTTAACTTTCCCACGCTTAGTACCAATCACCAAATACTTTTCTTTTTTGTTTTCCTCAGTTAAAAAATCTTCACGGACCGAGATAACCTTCTCAATAACTTCTCCCTGGTCCAATTTCAACATACCACTTTCTCTCAAATTAACACTTTTTTCAGTTAACTTATAAACCGGAACAATATAAATTTTGCCGAAATTAGAAAAACATCATAAATCATCTCGCCGATTAGATTTAATAATAGCCAAGTTTTCTCCACGAGTTTTTAACTCTTTTCCTACGCTCGGAACATTAGTAGCATCTAAAGTATTAATTTTATAAATATTTAAATAACTGGCTAACTTAACTTCTTTTGCGCTTGTTTCTGATTTAGAGTTTTTCTCGCCTTGACTAAGAATAACAATTATTTCTTCCGGAGTAATTGCTTTTCTTTCATCAATCAAGTGGGAATCAGAAATAATTTGAGTGCGACGTTCATCCTTTTCATAATCTTTTTTCAATTGCTCTAAATCAGCAATTAACTTTTCTTTTCGTTTTTCTTCGCTAGTAATTAACTGGCCCAACTCCTCATTTTCACCCTTTAATTTAATTATTCCCTGGACTAAATCAACTTGCTTTTCCGGAGTAAATTGACGGAAACTAATCGACATGCTTAAAATGTTTTCAATCTTAATCTTTCCTTGCTTAATTTCGACAAACCTTTGTTCTAACTGTCCGTGACGTTCTTCTTCGGTCGGATAACCTTTAATTATCTCTGCAATTTCTTGATAATTATTGATAATAAAAATTCGGGTGTTTAAATTAACTAATTCTTTTTCATTTTCCTTTAAAAGAAATTGAGACTTACGACGAATATTTTCTAAACGATTGCTAATGAAAGCTTGTAGAATTTCAGTCAAAGAAAAAACTCGCGGATTATCTCCGACTAAGGCTCGCATTTTAACAGAAAAGTTAATTTGCAATTGAGTACTCTTATACAATTTATTAAGAATTATTTGTCCATCATGCTGCTGGGAATCAAATTCAAGACGAATATCTGTAACTCCTCGGTTAGAATAATCAACGATTTTCTTTAAACCAGAAATTCTCTTATCTTTAATTATCTCTGCAATTTGCGCCACTAAAGTTGACTTTATGATTTTGTAAGGTAATTCAGTAATTCAAATTATATTCCTAGCAGTTTTTTCAGTTCCAACTATTTCTTTTCCGCTCTTTACCTCTTGGGGAGAAAAAATTTGCACTTTAGCTCGCAAATAAATCGTTCCCTCTCCCTTTTCGTAAATACTAGGCAATTTCTCTTTTTCTAAAACATAACCACCAGTAGGAAAATCAGGACCTTGTAAATCATTAACTAATGCTTGGTTAATTTTCTTCTTTAATTGGGAAAAATTCTCTTCAATCTCTTTCCTTTCTTCGATTAGTTGGTTATAATGTTCCTCAATTAATTGCTTAGCATTAACATCCATTTCACCTTCCCTCTTAGAATCGATTACAGTAATTTGTTGATCTTTAAGACGAAGTTCTTCTTGAAACCCTTGAAAAGAAATTAATTCTGGACTACGAATTAGGTTGATAGTTGCTGTCAAAGTTCCTCCTAAATGGTGAGGGGGGATATTAGCTGTCATTCCCACCGCAATACCACTAGAACCATTCAATAATAAATTTGGAAGGGTAGTAGGCAAAATAACTGGTTCCTCCTTTCCTTTAGTATCATCGTAATTGTTCTTTCAGTCAGTAGCTCCATAAGCAATATCTTCTAGTAAGTGAAGGGCGTAAGGAGTTAACTTTACCTTAGTATAACGCATCGCAGCGGGGGGATTTTTGTCATAACCAAAGTTACCCCGTCCATAAACTAATGGATAACGAAACTTGTCAGCGCGCACCATGTTAGCCATTGCATTATAAATACCTTGATCACCATGCGGGTGTCAATCTGACATAGTTCTACCCACTATGTTAGCTGAAGTAACTTCTGATTTGCTAGGCATGATTCCCATTTGATAAAAAGCAAAAAGAATCCGGCGTTGAACTGGTTTCAAACCGTCGTGAACGTTTGGTAATGCCCGGTCCTCTACCACCGCGTAAGCATAGCGAAGGAGGTTAACTAGAAGTAAATTAATTAAATTAATTTTTTTGTCTTCGCTAATAGTTAAAGGCGCTTCACGATAATCTCTTCTCTCTAAATACTCTTTCCGCTTATCACTCTTGGTTCCCATCAACTCCTGAATTATCCGCTCACATCCTGATCAGTCAGTAATATTTATGTTATACAAGCGCCTTTGATTAGGATCCATGGTGCTTTCAAACAACTCTGAAGCATCCATTTGCCCCAAACCTTTGATTCGCTCAATCTTTCGCTCCTCGCGAGGATTATTTTGGCGATAAACTTCTAACTCCCGATCATCATAAAAGTAATGGACTTGCTTTTTGGACTGTACTCGATAAAAAGGTGGTACTGCCACAAATACTTTTCCTCCTTCAATTAAGTAAGGTAGATAGCGGAAAATAAAAGTCATTAATAATACTACAATGTGGGCTCCATCATCATCCGGGTCAGCCATCAAAATAATTTTCTTGAAATTGGATTTACCTAATAAATCCTTTAAAGTTTCGCGAACAACAACAGTTAACTGCTCTAAATTAAGCGGGATGTCGGCCGGAACTACTTTTTTTTCTCCTTCTTCTTCGTAAACAAATTCTTCCGGTAAAACTATTTCCTCGTCTAATAATTGTCTTTCTATTCGAGGACGAAAGCGAATGTAATTATTCTTTAAAAGTCCTTTAGAATCAGCGAAACCAAGAGCAAGTAAAATATTATGAATTTGCTTATTTTGGAGAACTCGACGAACTAACTTTAAAGCATTCGGAGGCTTTCCTTGCAACGCTAGGACAGTTTGAGTTTTTACATCCCGACCTTCTTCCGCACTACCACCAGCTGATTTACCCTCTACGAAAAATATCTCCTCATTCTCCTCTGAACTAGATAATACTTTTATTAAATCAAGAGATTTTTTCCCTCCTTGAAAAATATCTTGCTCCTCCTTTAAATGTAAACGAAGTTTAGCATTATCAATAATTTTCTCTTTAATAAGTTTAGCAGTGGCGGCATTATCTTGAAAAAAACCACTTACTAACTCTTGAGTAACTCTTTTAGTTTTTTCCCGGACTTCCCGGTTAGCTAGTCGATCTTTAGTTTGGCCAGCAAACTCAGGATCTTTAATACGCACCGAAACAATCGAGGTCAAACCTACCAAAACATCCATCAATTCAATATCTAAATTAGGATTGTCTTTAATAACTAATTCTTTGCAAACCTCAAAAAGTCCGCTTTCAAAACCACTAACATGCGAACCACCCCCGCCAGTACGAATATTGTTACAGAAAGAACGAGTACTATTTTTGTCATAACTGTCATTATATTGAAAAGCAAAACTTAATTGGAAATATTCAGAATTCTTTTCCTCGACTACTGCTCCATAAAAAACTTCTCCCAACGTTGCTTTGCCAGTGTGAATTTCTTCTATCCAACTCTTCAAACCACCAGTAAAATGATAAACAATTGGTTCAACAGTAGGAGAAGTAGCAAAATATAAGGTAAGATTAGGATTTAAATAGGCTACCTCTTTTAAACGCCTTTGAATAATCTCAACTTTAAAGTAGGTGAATTCTTTAAAAATTTCAGGGTCGGGAGTAAACTCAACTAATACCCCATTGTTTCGTCCAGCAGTATTAACTATTTGTGAAGAGATTAATTTTCCTCTTTCATAAACTAATGTTTCCGTTTTTCCTTCCCTACTACTTTCCACTCGTAAGAATCTAGAAAGAGCATTAACTACCGTTACTCCCACTCCGTGAAGCCCACCAGAAGTCTTATAAGCTTTGTTATCAAATTTTCCTCCTGAATGGAGAACTTCAAAAATGGTCCTTAAAACACTTATTTTAGTTTTGGGATGGATTTCAATTGGAATACCCCGTCCATCATCCTTAATAGTAATAGTAGTTTGATCAGCAGAAAGGGTAACCCAAATCTTTTGACAATAACCCGCAACCGCCTCATCAACTGGATTGTCAATAGCTTCTCAAGCTAAATGATGCCAACCTTGCTCATCAGTAGAACCGATATACATTCCAGGCCTTTTCCGAACTGCTTCAATATTTTCTAGAACCTGAATACTTTCAGCTCCGTATTCATCCTTTTTGTTTTTTTTCTCAGGCATAAATTAAGAATATTAATATAACAATAAGTTTTACAAAAAAACTTAAAAACTTAGCAAGTTAGTAAAAAAGAATCTACATTTTTTACATAATGTAAGATAATTCTCATCAATATTAAGATAAAAAGATATCATCACTTACCAAGGCTATTTTCTCCAATAAATTAGGAAAAACTTGCAAATCTATATATTAATAAATATTTTAAGAACTTAAAGTTTCAATAGAACATAATAAAACGATAAATGTATTTTATTAATTAGAACAAAGATTAAAACAATATATATATATAATAGACAGGAGAAAATTTGTTAAGTAAATCACCATGAATGTAAATAATAAAAACCTTTTAAACCTTTCGAAAGAAAAAGAAAGTATGACCGCCCCTCTACAAAATGAGAAAAGAAAAGTTATTGAGTTGGCAGAAAGATTGTTAAAAGAACTTAGATTAGAGTTCACTGTTTCTAGTACCAAAGAAGCCCCTTTTAGCATGAGAAGTACGATAGACAAAATTGTGATAAGTTATGCACTAAGCCATTTTAACAGCGAAAAAAATGTTTCAGAGAAAATTAAATATGATTGTGAACTGAACGGAAGTGATTGAGTGGAAAAACTTGCTTCGGTTCAAGATAAGGAAGGGATTGAGACTGCGAAAAAATATTTCATACTCACGAAAACTAGTTTTGGGGCTAAGGAAACCGGAAAGTTTAAAGAAATTACGGAAAAAATAAAGCAGTTGGAGCAAGAGAAAGCAAAAACTAACGATTTTAACAAGGACAAGGTTATCCAATTAATAAATGAACTTAAACCTTTTTGTAGTGGGAGTTCTAATAGAGAGGTTGGAGATTTTCCAGTTACCGCCTGGATGTTTTCCAAGCGAATTTCTGAGTTAATAAAAAATGCGAACAATAGAATAAAATGAAATGAAGGTAATAAAAAATGTGCTGAGGAATTCGCGGAGAAAATTAAACAAAAACACCAAGAACTTAATAAAAAAATTGCTACTATTTTAAAAGAAGCCAAAAATGAAACTGACCCCCAAAAATTAACTGCTTTTTTAAAACAAATCAACGAAGCAAGCATAGGAGTTGAAATTAAAATGGAAAAGAAACTTCAAAATGAATTAGACAATTTAACAGAAAAAGTGCTTTCTTTTGAACCTAATCCAGGGAAAAAAATATTTGACGAATTAAATGACAATTTAAATCAAAATGGTTTAAATATAGAGGATTTAGAAGAAGAAACCAAAGAAGAATTAGAAAGTTTGGAAAATGAGGAAGATAAAAAAGAAATTATAAAAAAACAACAAACTTTAATTAGAGAAATAAGTATAAAGGGAGCCAAAAAGAAATTAGAAGTATTAATAGAAAAAATTAAAGTTGATTTAAGTAAGAATTTAATTAACCAAATTCGTGAAACTAAAAATGCAATAGTTCAATTTATTAGCGAAAATAGTTATAATCAGAGTGCTTACTTCGCAAATCAATCAGCAGTAGATCAATTTCTTGAACAAGCCGAAAATAAACTTTCAAGCCTTTCAGAACCAGAACCAATGTGAAAAAAAGCGATTATTCCGGCTTCTCTTTTAGTAGGAATAATAGCCATTGTTGCAATAGTTAAAAAGAAAAATCAAAGAAATTTTTAATTTACTACTCTAAACTGCTTTAAAAATCGAATGTCATTTAAGTAAAAGTCTCGGATATCCTCAATTCCGTATTTAATTATTAACAAACGTTCAATCCCTAAACCAAAAGCAAAGCCCGTAAACTTTTGGTTATCAAATCCACAATTTTTTAAAACTTGGGGATGGATTAAACCTGCTCCTAATATTTCTACTCAACCAGTTTGTTTACAAATGTTACAGCCTTTACCTTGACAAGCAACACAACCAGCATCTACTTCCACACTTGGCTCGGTAAAAGGAAAGTAAGCGGGGCGAAAACGAAGCGGATGTTTTCTACCAAAGATTTTTTTTAAAATTAACTCTAAGGTTCCTTTCAAATGAGAAAAGTTGACATTTTTTCCCACCACAAAACCTTCTAATTGGGTAAATTGGTGAGTGTGAGTTCTATCACTTTCGTCTCGGCGATAAACTTTTCCTGCTGAAACAACTTTTAATTCTTGATTAGGATTGCTTTCCATTATTCGCACCTGAGTATTAGAAGTGTGGGTACGTAACAATAAATCACTATTGAGATAGAAAGTATCATGCATATCTCGGGCAGGATGGTCTGGCGGAATATTCAACTTGTTAAAATTATACTCTTCGGTTTCTATTTCTGATCCTTCTACAATTTGATAACCCAAAGGAATAAGCATATCATAAATTTTTTGGATAATTTGGGTAATAGGATGAAGATTACCTAATGGTACTTTTTTTCCTTCCAGGTAAATATCTACTTTATTGGTTTTTTCCATTTTTTCGTTAAATAATAAAATACTATTCCACTTGTTAAAAGTAGTCCACCAATAATTAGTCCCAAGGCCCAAACCGGCAAACCTTCTGGTTCAATAGTGGGCTGATTTAGTTGGTTTCATCTTTGCTTTTCCTGACTAATTTCGCTTAAAATCTCTGTAAAAATGCTCTCATGCTGGTGGTAAATTTTCCCTTTGTCGCCATTTTGGCTATCTTGGGAGAAAGTTTTTAACTCATAAATTTCTCGGTTTTTCGGTTGTTTATATTCTTCAAATGTAGAAAAAAGAAGGATAATTTGTTCTATACTACTACTAAGATTTTTATTCAAAGAACTTAATTTTTTTAGCAATTCTATAAAATCAGCCAACCGATTTTTTACGGCAAGTTGGTCGGCTCCTACATTCACTGCCGACCATACGTCAAATGGTTTTTTATTAACACCAATCTCAGTTGCATTTAGTAAAAGTTCATGACCACCAAACACAGTTCTTTCTGCACAAAGCGGTTTTTTCTGCGGATCATAGGGAATATTTCGGAAAGTTAGTTCAAATTCCTCAGTTTCTCCCTTATCCTTAAAAGCATAAGCCGCAATAACTTCCAGCATTTCAAAATTCCCTATTTCATCATGAGAACTCATAAAATTTTTTACAAAATTAAAACTTTTGAACAAATTAACTTTCAATTTTTCATGAATAGTGGTAGAACTAAAACCAGGACCATAAGATTTAGTTTCAGCCATTACTTCCTGAATTAAATTTCCTGTGCTTTGGTCTCGGATAACTATTGTTCCATAAATAAGCATATCGCCTGCTTTATAAGAACATTTATGTTTGCTGGTTTTAATGGTTATGTCGATAAGCATGATTTATTATTATGATTGATATATATATATATATATATATTGTTTTAACTACTTTTCTATTTCCTTAATAACTCTTTCTGATTCTTATTTAAATAATAATTTAACATTTGAATATCAACTGGACTAACTCCTCCTATCCGTCTGGCTCTCCCGAGTGAAGTCGGTTTTTCCTCAGTTAATTTTGCTTGGGCTTCTTTGGATAAATTAACCACTTTCGCATAATCAAGAGTGGCGGGGATTTTTCTAGTTTCATACTTATTTAACTCTTTTAATTCTTTTTCTACTTTCTCTAATTGATTGGCATAGATAGCATCAGCCTTTAATTCTCGTTGATCTTCCCAATTTAAAGTTTCTATTTCTGGTATCCAAGGTTTAAATTCCTTTAATGAAACTTTATTATTTCTCAGTAATTCATAACCGTTTATTATTTTTATAGTTTTCCATTGACTAGTGTCTAAACAAGGGAAATTTTGAACTAGGTCGCGATCAACCTTGAATACTAATTTTTGTAGTTTTTGTCTAATTCTTTTTTTTAATCTTTTCGTCTTTTGAAAATTTCCTCAATCTTCGTTGCTTAACAAACCTAATCGGCGGGTAATTGGTCAAAGCCGAGTATAAACATTATCGTGTCTTAATAATGAACGATATTCAGCGAGAGAAGTTAAAAGACGGTAAGGCTCAGTAATTTTGTTAATAGTTAAATCATCAATCAACACTCCAATATAAGCTTTGCTTCTTTTTAAAATTAGTGGATTTCGTTTTTTCAACTTTTGACTGGCATTAATTCCTGCCATTAATCCTTGCGCAGCCGCTTCCTCGTAACCAGTAGTGCCATTAATTTGTCCGGCCACAAATAAACCAGTAACCAGTTTACTTTCTAAACTATTTTTTAATTGGGTAGCCTCTATTTTATCATATTCAATAGCCTTGCCTCATTCTTGAACTTGAACCCTTTCAAATCCAGGAAGAGTCAGTAAAATCTTTTTTTGAACTTCGGCGGGCAAAGAGGTAGAAAGCCCCTGTAAGTAGTAAGTTTCTTCTTCCTTAGCACCTTTTATTTGGGATTGTGGCTCTACAAAAATTTGGTGTCTTTCTTTGTCCGCAAAGTAATGAATTTTATGTTCGATGCTAGGACAACGACGAGGACCAGGACCAATATTTTCTCCGTTAAAAATCGGAGATAAATGGAGATTGTCTCGGATAACTTGATGAGTCTTTTCATTAGTATAAAGCAGATAACAAGGCAATTGCTGAGAAAAAGGCAATAATTGAGAATAATCACTCCGAGAAGAAAAACGTAAAGGTAAATCAGTGCCCGGTTCTAATTTAAATTGGGTACAGTCAATACTACTTTTCAAAATCCGAGGACTAGTACCCGTCTTAAAACGATTTAATTTAAAACCTAGTTCAACCAGCTGCTGAGAAAGATTATTAACCACTTCTTTTTCGCCACTCGGTCCCTCCACCTTACTTTCTCGACCGCGATAAATAATTGGTCGCAGATAAGTACCCGTAGTCAAAATCACTATTTTGGATGAAAAAACTTCACCATTATTCAATTCTACTCCCTTTATTTTCCCTTTTGCGATTAGCAAGTCTCTAACCGCTCCTTCAATAATAACTAAATTTTTTTGTTCACTAGTTACCTTTTGCATATAATGGGCATAGGCTACCTTATCAGATTGCACTCGGAGAGCTTGTACACCTAGACCATTAGAAGTATTCAAAAGTTTAAATTGGAGAGCAGTGGCATCAGCCGCCTTACCCATTTCTCCCCCCAAGGCATCAATTTCTCTTACCACTATTCCCTTAGCTACTCCCCCTACCGAAGGATTACAGGGCATTAAACCTATCTTTTTTCTTTCTAGGGTAATTAAAGCAACCTTATGACCTAAGCGAGCACTAATTAAAGATGCTTCAATGCCAGCATGTCCCCCTCCTATTACTATTACATCAAAATCTTTGGGTGAGTTTTTACTCATATTAAAATTTTAACAATTAATTTCTCTTTTCTACCTTGATTTTACTTCACAATATCACTAGTGGTAGAGGTTAAAAAGAAAAAAATATTTATAAACTGATGAAATCAGGAGCGAATTACAGAGAAATAGCATAATTTGATAATTTTTTAACGAGTAAAAAATTAATTCTATTTTACTAATCGTTTTCTTAACTTTTGGTTTTTCCTTCTTTACACCACCGACACAGATTACTTTCTGTTTCGTGCTGCTGGTAATATTTCTTGCGACATTTTCGACAAGTAAATTTACCAGTCCGTAATATGTATTTTTGCACCACTCAAAATCAGCCAATAAACAGGGCAATCCCCAATATTAACCATAAGATAATCATTAATATCTCGCCTACTTCCATATTGTTATATTATATTAATCTTTTTCTCAAACTCCAAGCCTTTTTCTTAATTCCTGAACCACCTCAGCATCAATCTTCCTTTTTTTAAAGCCTTGTTCCAAAGTTATATTAAAAGCGTTTAGTTTTTTTATTTCTTGCATTATTTTTTCTCGCTCGGTGGGAGTAACCCCTAATTGGATTTTTCTTTCTAAAGTTAATATGTCCACTTCGCGACGCCAATAATCTCACAAAAGTATTAATTTATTTTCAATCCGTTCAGCCTCTTTTCAATTATCTTCAAACCATTCTTGGTTTTCCTTATTTTGTTTTTCAATTTCTTTAAGTTTAGCGAGAAAGTTTTTTTTAATATCTTTCTTTTCGCTAATAAGTTTTCTTAAATGTGCTTCAATATCATCAAGTATCTTTTCAGCTCGACCTTTCTTAAATGATTGAATATTATTATCTGACATAACTATAAATACATTTTATCAAAACCTATTTTATTTTTAACATTATTTTACAATACCTTTAATAATTATTTCCAAAGGAAAAATTAAGGAATACTTTATTCCTGCATCATTAAACATTTTTTTAGCAGCAATCGTCTCTAACTTTTTGTGATGTTTATCACTCGAATAAAAGATTTGCTTAATGCCGCACTGAATAATTAATTTGGCACACTCATGACAAGGAAAAAGCGTAGTATAAAGTGTAAATCCCTCACAATTCTGATGAGTATGAATGATGGCGTTGGTTTCAGCATGAACAACATAAGGATATTTAGTTTCTAGTCAATTACCCTCCCTCTCATAAGGATAAATATCATCGCTTAGCCCTCAAGGTAAACCATTATAACCAGTAGCAATAATTTCTTTTCTTTGATTAACTATTACTGCTCCCACTTGAGTATTAGGATCTTTACTTCTTAATGAACAAACTTGAGCAATACTAATAAAATATTCTTCTCAATTTAAATAATCTTTTCTTTTAGGCATTTAATAGATGAACTTTAATAATTAGTAAAAGGAAAAATTTTAGTTAAATAATTAACTTTCTTTTTTACTTCTTCCGACTTATCAGGATTTTGAAGAAGAAAGTGAATATTTTCGGCCAACTCTTTAAATTCTTTCTCACCAAACCCTCTTGTAGTTAAAGCAGGAGATCCTAAACGTATACCACTAGTTATTCAAGGTTTTTCGGTATCATAGGGTATCATTTGCTTGTTACAGACAATTCCAACTTCTTCTAATATTTTGGCTGCTTCTTTGCCAGTTAAACTATAACTACTTTTAGTGTCAATAATTAATAAATGAGTTTCGGTGCTATCACTAATCACTTTTGCCCCTTTTTGGCAAAAATAATCAGCCATAACTTTAGCATTTTCTAACACTTTTTTTTGATAACTTTTGAATTCCGGTTGCAAAACTTCGTAAAAGCATTGAACTTTAGCAGCAATAATTGCTTGATTTGCTCCTCCTTGCAAACCAGGAAAAACTGCTTTGTCGATTTTTTCTCCTAACTCTTTCTTGGCTAAAATAACGCCTCCTCGCGGTCCCCTTAGTGTCTTGTGAGTGGTAAAAGTTATTACATCAGCATAAGGAGAAGGATCAGGAAATAGTCCAACAGAAACTAACCCAGCAACATGAGCAATATCCGCCAATAAATATGAACCAACTTCATCAGCAATTTCTCGAAATTTAGCAAAATCTATTTTTAAACTATAACTACTGTAACCAGTAATAATTAATCGAGGTTTGACTTCTTTGGCTATTTTCCTAACCGCTTCATAATTTAACTTCTGGGTTGTTGGATCTAAATTGTAATGATACACTTGATAAAAATTTCCAGAAAAATTAATTTTAGCACCATGACTTAAATGTCCGCCCGCTAATAAATCCAAACTTAATATTCTATCGCTAGGTTTTAATAAAGTTAAATAGACAGCTTGATTAGCTTGCGATCCTGAATGAGGCTGAACATTAGCATACTCGACTTTGAATATTTTTTTGGCTAAATCAATGGCTATTTTTTCAATTTCATCAACATACTGGCAGCCCTGATAATAACGTTTGCCAGGATAACCTTCTGAATATTTACTAGTTAAAAAAGAACCAGCATAAAAAAGAACTTTTTTGGAGGGATAATTCTCCGAAGCAATGAGATTTAGAGTATTTTTTTGCCTTTCTAATTCTTGTTGATAATAGGAGGATAAATTTTCCATTAATAATTACCTATGCTCATTTCTTTTTTTTCTTAATAAGAAATAAGTAATAAATCCTACCGCTAACACTCCCGCTACTGTGCTTAATCCAATATAAAGATTTCTATTAGAGTTATAAGGATACTGATCATTACTTTGTTCTAAATCAGATAAAGTTAATTCACACTTATTTAACTTTTTAACATAAGCTTTAATTAACTGCAATTCGGTTGTATTTGATTCTTCTTCTTCTTCTTCTTTATGATTGTATTTAATAATTGAAGTATTGTCACTAGAAAATTTGATAGAGTTTATATTGCGTTGTTTAAAGTATTGAAGCAAAATTTCGTTGTTTAGTTCTCTTTTTGTTAGAGAGTTAGGAATCTTAACTGGTTTTTCTTGGCTATCAACTAGGGTAATTTTTATTTTATCGCTTAATCCAACAATTTTGTGAAAAATCGGTTTATCTTCTTTGCTTAATCGTTGCCAATAATTTGTTGGGCTTTTTTCAATCGGAATATTATCCACTCCCTCAATTATAAAAAAGTCTTCTTGATTTCCATCCCATCAAAAATTCTCAGTTGCTATTTTTATTGCTGGATCAGTTTCATTTTCTCATATTGGATGGTCAAAAGGTATTATTAAATAATAATTTTGCCCATTTTCTCTGCCTAAAAAAACACCATAATCTCCAAACGGTCTTCCGCCTTTATTCCCGCTTTTTTTATCAGTCCGTCCATCCAGAAAAAAAAGATTTTTTTGTTTATTTAATACTTCTTCTCTTTGTCGTTCCTCTTGGATTTTTCTCTCCTCTTCTTTTTTTAGTTTCTTTTTACTATCCTCCATTGTCCACTTATACGAACTTTTTGATGCTTCCTCCTTATGTTCGTCGCAATAGTAAACTTCTAACTCCATTTCGGGGTTGTTTTCATCTCTTTCTGTTTGTTGAAACATTCCCGCTTTTCTTTTACCACAAATAAAACAAACCTCACGCCCACAACCTTTATCGTATCAAATTCCTCCACACAAATAAGTATTATTTTGACCCTTAAAAATAAAGCCACTACCTATTTCTCCTCCGCATTTACCACACTGCTTTTTGCTAATTGTCATAGATGTATATAAATTGTTTTATATAAACTCTTTATCAGGCCCTTTTGGTTTGGCATTTAAGTTCAACTATTTTTTTTGTTTTTCCCATTGCGAAACCACTTCTGCCAAAATAACTCCGCAACTTACTGAAACGTTTAAGGAACCAATATTATTACTCATTGGAATGTAAATTGAATAATCACTTTTTTTAACCAAACTTGGTCTAATTCCTTCATGTTCATTACCAAAAATTAAACAAGTAGGGAAAGCAAAAGCAAATTTATTATATGTTTGGGTTCCTGGTTGACAAAGAGTAGAAATAATTTTATATCCTTGGATTTTAAGTTGATTAATTGTTTCGGCCATACTATTTACTTGACAGACCGGAACCTGGGCTACTCCTCCCATCGAAATTTTAATTACTGTACTATTAACGGGTACTTGATTTTTTTTCGCAATAATTACTCCATCAATCGCCAAAGCGGCACCGGTTCTTAAAATGGCTCCAAAATTATGAGGGTCTTCAATACTATCCAACATAACAATTAACGGAAACCTTCTTTGCGGCTGATGAGTTAATAAAGAAGCAAGCGGAACGTAATGGTAACTACGAATAAAAGCAACTATTCCTTGACTTTTTTTATCAAAACTATAACGAGAAAATTGTTCTTTATTTAATAATTCATAAGGAATTTTTTTTTGTGCTAATAATTGTAATAAATTTCTATCTTTTTTATGTTCCTCTCTTAAAAGGATTTTTTTTAGATTAAAGTATGGGGAGTTAAGCAAACTACGAACCGTATGATTACCAAAGGCTAAAAAAGTCATATTCTAATATTTATTTTTTACCTCTGAAAACTTCCCTGCCACTAATATCTTTTTACTTCCCTAAACAAAATTTACTGAAAATTATATCTAATAAATCTTCATTATATTCTTTTCCACTCAATTCTTTGACTAATTTATAACTAGTTTCTAAATCACCGCATGCAACGTCTAAATAAGTTTCTTTTTTTAACTCATTAATTACCATTTCTAACTGCTGAATAAGACTGGTTAGTTTAACTTGCTGTCAACTTTGACTCAAATAAGGATAAGGAGACAAATTATTTATTAAATCGCTCGCAAATAATTCCTTAATTTCTTTTTCTAATTCACCCAATTGCTGGTTTTTAGCACTAATTCGACAAACTTTTTTTGCAGAAAGGATGGAAGGAAATTTTAATTTGCTTAATTCATCTATTTTATTAATAATAAGGAGAAAATTTTTCTCCTTAATTTTTTGGTAAATATTACTATCTTTTTTATCCCAGGAGCGGGAATTATCCACCAAAAAAAAAATAATGTCCGCTTTTTCTAAAGCCTGATAACTACGGGTTACTCCAATTTTTTCTACTATGTCTTGGGTTTCATGAATGCCGGCCGTATCTAATAAAGTTAGCGGAATTCCATTTAGATTATAACGAGCTTCAATTATGTCCCGGGTAGTTCCTGCCACAGGGGAGACAATGGCTTTTTCCTCTTGCAACAAAGCATTTAAAAGGGTTGATTTACCAACATTCGGCTTCCCAACAATGGCCACTTTTAAACCCTCTTGGTAAAAGCGAGCCTTTTGACCATCTTTTTTAATTGTATTTAACTTTTCTAATAATTTATTTAAACGAGGAAGAACTGCCTTACCAGTTAGGTATTCAACTCCATCATATTCCGGATAATCAATGTTGACTTTAATGGTAGCAATAATGTCTAATAATTCATTTTCAATATCTGCTAATTTTTGTTGGCTTTTGGGACTTAAATTATGTAGAGCTAATTTAACCCCTTCTAAACTAGGAGCCCGAATTAAGTCATTAATAGAATTAGCTTGAATTAAGTTCAATTTTCCATTAAAAAAAGCTTGTTTAGTGAATTCACCCTCTTTGGCTAATTCAGCACCTTTTTCTTGAATTAACTGTAATATTTGGTTAACCACAAACAAATTGCCATGACAACTAATTTCCACGACATCCTCACCGGTAAAGGAATTTGGTTTGTAAAAACAAAGCAACAACACTTCATCAATTATTTCTTTTTGAGAATTAACGATTTTACCAAAAATTAACTGTGGCTTTTTTTGCGGATATTCCGGTAAAGGGCGGTCAAAAACTTGGTTAATAATTGGATAAGTTTGCGAACCAGAAATTCTAATTAAAGCAATATTTTGAGTAATAGGAGCCGTGACTAAGGAAGTAATCGTTTTATAAAGGAACATTAGACTAATAATTAAAAAAGTTTTTTCATTATAATATGAATTCAATTAAGCGATCTTAAGTAAATAAAAAGACTTAATTTAACAATGAAACGTTTTATTTAGTCATCTCAAGGATAAAGCAAATTAAATAATCACACCGTTAAAGCAACACAATTATTAACAACAAAATGTAATTTAGCATTTACTTCTTCCTTATATGAGTTTAAAACAATATAGACAACCAAAGCAATAAAATTTTGTAATAAAATATTACCAAAAAAGAACCGTCAAGTATTTTTTTTTTTAATGTTTTTTCTGTAATAAGAATTCAAATCTCCTTTTTTCATAAATAATATTTTGCTAATTAAATAATGTTTTTAAAATAAAATAATGTTTTACCCACCGAATAAAGAATTAGGGCAAAATTTTCTTTTTGATAAAAATTATTTGCGAAAAATAATTACCAATTGCCCAGTCAATCCTGAAACAGTGATAATTGAAATTGGTAGTGGTTATGGGAACTTAACTAATTTGCTGGCTGAAACTAATTGCCAAAAAGTTTTTAGTTTAGAAAAGGATAAAAGATTGTTTCAGTTATTAGAAAAAAATAATAAAAACGGCAAAATAATTTACTTGCATCAAGATGCGCTAACTTTTGACTGAGAAACATTCTGTTTAGAACACCAAAATAATCCTCTAATAATTGTTGGCAACTTACCTTATTATATAACTAATTCTTTAATAATTAATTTGCTATTTAATTACCATTTATTTAAGTCTTTGATTTTTTTAGTTCAAAAAGAAGTGGGAGAAAAATGGGTGGCTAATCCTCAAACTTACTCCTCTCGTTATTCAGCCTTATCAAGCTTTATTAACTACTTGACGGAAATCAAAATTACTTTAAAAATACCATCACAAGTCTTTATTCCCCCCCCTTCAGTAGATGGAGTATTAGTAATAATAAATCCGCATAAGAATATCAATATAACAAAAGAACAATTAACTTTTTTTTTACGTTTTTTAAAAAACTGTTTTCGTTTTCGCCGCAAAACTCTCTGAAACAACCTTTTATCCTTCTCTGGCAACTTGAACAAGAAATGAGAAGAATATTTTTCTAAAAAAAACTACTCTATAAAGATTCGTCCTCAAAACTTAACCGCTAAAGAATACTATGATTTATTTCTTTACTGAAAAAGTCTAAATAATTGCTAGTTTTTAATAATCAAACTTATTTTTAATTTCTTTCTTAATCTCCCGGTACAACTCTGGATTTTCGACCAAATAATCAACTACATTCTCTTTTCCATTACCTAACTTTTTTTCTTTGTAAGAATATCAATTGCCACTCTTTTGCAAAACATTTAGTTCAGTGGCTAAATCAACCATCTCCCTTTCTTCTTGGACACCACCTTTAAACATCATTTCAATAGGTTTTTCTTTGCTTTCTTTGGAAGCAGGACGAGAAGAAATTGACCGGTTTTTTTCAATTCGAAACCAAACTTTAATCCCAACATATTCTCCTTCTTTCTCAATTTTTTCTTTTTTATTTTTTAACTCTATTCGTAAACTGGCGTAATAGGTCAAAGCCACTCCTCCCGTAGTAGTTTTTGGATTGCCAATAAAAAAGCCAGTAGACACTTTATTTCGAATTTGGTTAATAAAAATTATAATTGTCTCTTTATTAGTCATTTCATTGTTAATTTGACTTAGACCGTTATTTAACATTTTAGCGTGAGCACCAATCGGTGGTCTTTCCCAATTTCCCAATAACTCAATCGGTATTAAAGGCGCTACTGAATCAATAACAATCAAGCCTGCTCCCCCGCGAATAAATTCAATTAATAATTGAAAGGCTTGTTCGCCATATTTAGGACGAAGAACTAATAATTCGTTAATGTTTACCCCAATATTTTGGGCGTGCTTAGCATTTAAAGCATTTTCAACATCAAATCAAACTGCTCTCTTCCCTAACTTTTGACATTCTCGAACAGCATGGAGAGCCAAAGTAGTTTTACCACTCGCATTTTCTCCATAAATTTCAACAATCCTTCCAAAAGGATAACCACCTCCTATTTCTTGGTCCAAAATAAAACTTCCGGTAGATAAAGTAGGCTGATCTTTAAATTTACTTTCCCCTAAGGTAGTAATAGTGCCTTCACCATATTCTTTGGTAATATTTTCAATAATACGCTTTATCTCTTGTGAAAGCGGAGAATTCTTTTCAATTTTGATTTCTTTTTTTTGGGACATAATATATTTTTCAATACCAAATTATTGTTATTTTGTCCTAGAAATTAAACGATTCAAGCTTTTTAAAAACATAGAACAAACAGCATTAATCAACCTCTTTCAAGCGTTTAATCTCCTCTCGATAAAACTCTTTGTTACGAGGAGTTTCTAAAATTTTGATAACTCCATTAAATTTTGGATGTCAAACAACTTTTTTTAAGGCCTCAAACCCAATTTTTCCACGACCAACATTTTCATGTCGATCTTTTTTTTCTCCCATTTCAAAAGCAGAATCATTAATGTGAATGACTCACAACTTATCCAAACCAACTTTTTCCTCAAATTCCTTAATCACTCCTTCTAGATTATCCTTAATATTATAACCAGCAGAATAAAGATGGCAAGTATCTCAACAAATACCAATCCTTTCTTTTTTTTCTATTTGGTCGATTATATAACGAAGTTGTTCAAAATTTCCTCCCACTTCATTCCCTCTTTGGCACATAGTTTCTAAGGCAATTTTAATACTAGAACTTTCGTTAAGAACTAAATTAAGACCTTTAGCAACTTGGTCTAAGGCCTTTTTTGGTTCAGCACTTAAGGCGCTACCTGGATGGAGGATAATAGTTTTCAAACCAATTTCTTCCATACGAGCAACCTCCCTTTTCAAAAATTTAACCGACCATTCAAAGATGCTTCTCTCTCCACTTTTTTTCTTATCCTCATTAGTATTAGCTAAATTCAAAATGTAGGGGCCGTGAACTATCACATTGTTGATATCAATATTATTCTCAACTAATTGCTTTTTAAATTCAGTTATTTTTAATTCTGTTAAAGGGCGACGGAAACTATTTTGTGGAGCTCCACTATAAATCATTAAGCAATTGGCTCCATACTTCATTGCTTCCCACGCTGCTCCTAAAAGAAAATCAGGATTCTTCACTAAGCAATGACGACCAATTATTAATTCATATTTTTTATTCATTTTGTTATTTTTTTTAATATCCATATATTATTATGCTTCTTTATTTATATCTTTCCTCTTCTTTATCTTTCTTGTTCGGCCAAAGAATCATCACTAGTAAGACAATTCCCAAGAGAACTGAACCAACTAAAATTCAACCATAATATTTGTCTAAAAAAAACCTTTTTGGTTCTATGGTTTTAACATTAACACAATCCAGCCGGGAAATTAAAGGCGATGACAATTGTCCCATGTCCCGGGTGGAACTAGTAGCAATTAGAATATATTTCGATAAGTCTAAATCCTGGTTAAATAACTTTGTATTTTGTTGAGGGTCAAACACCGGCAATAAAGAATTTTCCACTGCGGAACCGCCTTTAACTTTTTCGATATTCTTAAATCAAATAATAGGAAAATTTCTCTTTTCAATAAGTCGCTTATTTTTGCTATTGTTACAAATTTCTGCGATTTTTTTTTCAATAAATTCTCCCCCTTCATTTCCTGATTGTCCAAACTCAATAATATTATTATTAATCCTCTTGCTCAATTCTTGGTTTTTTTCTAATTCTTGGTTATATTCTTCGCCTGCAAAGTAAGAGACTCAGGAAAACTCTCGGACACTTTTTTCATCCTTTTCCAAGATTTCCCTCCGGGCAATTCCTTTTACTTTAATTGTTTTTAATAATAATTCTTTATTCATTTTTAGTGGAATTTTCGGTTGAGAAAATAGAATTTTCTTTTTTTAGGATAAGTTTTTTGATAATTACTGACAAAAACAGAATTCATATAATTCCTCACAAAGCAAAAAGACCATAATGCTTTCAATTTGGATAAAAATTTTCTTGATAAGGTAAAACATTATTTTTTAACCATTGTTCTGAGTTCCCTAATGAAAAATTTTCTCCCTTTTCCCGGTCAGTAATATACTTTTCCTGAATTTTGCGCAACACCTTTTCGGTTTGACGTATTCCTGATTCTCGGATAAATTTTGGTAATTTCTTAATAATTTCTTCGGGAATAATATTCTTTATTTCCCCCCCACAAATTTTTTGTAAACTTTTTTCAATTTCTTTTTCTTTCAACTTCAAGATTTCTTCTTTTTCCTCATCAGTATAATCCTTTAAAATCCGCATATTTACTCCCAATTTGAGCAAAGGCGATAACTTTTCAGGATAATTGACCGTAGCAAAGAAAGTAATATGGTTTAATTCAATATCCATTTGGTAATATTTATCAAATAATTTTTCACTTTTATCTTTTTTATTATTTTTATACAAGTCAAAGAGAGTTATTAAATCTTTTTGAATAGTACTTCTTTCCTCAACTTTTTCTAACTCATCCAGCAAAATAATGGGATTTTTACATTTAGTTTTGTCCATTACTCAAGCCACCAAACTTGGTTTATTTGCATCACCCAAAATTGAATAATCTTTAAATTCTTTTAAGCCTGAAAAAGAAATAATTTCTAACTTCCGACCCATGGCATTATTTAAAGCATTAATAAAAGAAGTTTTGCCCGTGCCAGGGGCTCCGGAATAGCAAATTATTTCCCGCTTAGGATAAAAAGCACCGCCGGTTTTCGAGTAGAAGTAGACATAATTAGCAAATTTTTCTTTCTCATTTTCAAAGCCAATATGGCTAGCAAACATTTCCTCTATATCCTTAATTGAAACATCCTTTTTTTCCGAACAAACTTCGCCATTTATTATTAATTTTTTTAAAGCCTCTTTAAGATTTTCTTTACTCATATTTTACATTTTACTTTACATTGAATCAAGTTCAGAACAATACTAAACTAAATGCTGCTACTAAAAGAATTAAAGCCAATTTTCAAACCTTTTTAATAAACTGTTTGTAGGTTATTTTATTCTTTTCCAAACTGGCTACCAATATTCCGTTGTTAGGAGAAAAAGCCATTCCTAGTACTGCCCCGACTCAAGAAAAAATGGCCGTATAAATAAGAACCGAACCGGAAACACTGGCCAAACTAGGAGCTAAAGCTGATACCAAAGCGGTGACAATCGACGGACTACTAACGAAGAAAGCCATCAACAAGGAAAGCCCAAAAATAGGAAATATAGCTCAGTATTTAGCCGTTACTAATACATTGTCTGGTAGTATCTTTTTTGCCAAATGGTTCGAGACGCCGGAACTTTTTAGTATGGTAGCAGGCACCGCCGCAAAAATATAAACCAACAAAAGCGGAACAGAATTTTTGATAGAAGTCGTTAAATTATCCATAATATTCTGCTTAGCCAGCAAACAAATAATTATTGCTCCGATAATAAGTCAACAATCAATCGACCTATCTTCCCAACTTCCAAAAGTTTCCCAATAACTTTGCTTAATTTTTTTTGCTTTGGCTGTTTCCATCTCTCCTCCTACATTCCCGATTTCTTCGTATTCGGTTTCCTCATATGTGCTACTTATTCATCCCGGAACTTTTTCAGATAATTTACTCTTTTTGGTTATTTTGGCAAAGTAGGGCATCTGAGCAGCAATGCTCACGAATAAAAAAAAAGTCGCCACAGCCAGAATAATTTTCCTAGTTCGATTAAAAGGCGGAGGAACTTCCTCCTTTACAAGTTCACTCGAATTATCCTCCGGTCTACTTCTATTTCGGCTACAATATCAAATATTAAACAAAATAATAATCGTGGTAAAGAGAACAAAGGCTAAAAGACGAAATTCTATTCCAGTAGTTCCATTATAATTAATCCCTTGCCCAACAGGACCAAAACTCTGGCCAAAATGATTCTTTATTCTTTCTCCTGAAATTAATCCTGCTAAGCCGGCAATTGAACCACCATAAAGACAAAGTAACGAGGAAAGTATGTCAAATCCCATGGCCATTAATAGAGGGATAACTAGCGGATAAAAATGAACAAACTCATCAAATCAGGCTAAATTGGAACTCAAAAGAGCTGCTGCAAGGGTAACCAAACCAATAGCAAAATATTTTCTTTTCTCCAACCATTTCCTTTTAGAAGCAAAAAGAGATTGAAAAACTTGACTTTGCAAAATAGCATGTAAAAAAAAAGCAAAAGCAAAAATTGACAAACCCTGGGATAATAACCGCTCACCAGCAGTTTTGCGAATACACTGAAAAATGTTAGTTATCCCAACCTTATTGTCAGCTAAGGAAGTTCAAGTTAAACCGATCGTACCAAGACTGATTAAGAAGGTTATTAAAAAAAAGGACATATAATACTATTATTTTCTAGTTTCTATTTATTATTAAATAATTCGATTAAAGTTTTAACCATGACCCCCGTCCCTCGTTTAAGTTTGGCTTTTACAGCAGTTCCGGCGATGTCACAGTGGATGAAGGGTAGACCAGTAACGAATTCCTGTAAAAAAGCTGCTCCACTGGAAGCTCCCATGTGTCTATTACCGGCAATATTACTAATATCAGCAATGGTAGTGTTTTCTTTTAAAGCCTTGGTGTTTTCTGACCAAATTGGTAATTCTCAGATTCTTTCTTGAGATTTTTGGGCAGCATGATGAAATTGCTGGTAAAAATCACGATTATTAGTCATAATTCCGGTAGTTTTTTCACCCAACGCTAGCACACAAGCTCCTGTTAAAGTTGCCACGGTAATTACTTTAGTTACTTTTTCTTTTTTAATCGCATAAGTAATTCCGTCAGTTAGAACCAAACGGCCTTCGGCATCTGTATTGTTAATTTCCACAGTCTTACCGCTCATCGAGGTTATTACCGACTCAGTAAGGGTAGCGTGCCCGCCGATGGTATTTTCCGTTAAGCAAGCGATTGCTACCACATTTATTGCGGGCTTTTGGTGAATTAAACCTAAAAAAGAAGCACAGACTACAGCCGCTCCCGACATATCAAATTTCATGGTTTCTAAAGCCGGGGAAGGTTTTAAATTATAACCCCCGCTATCAAAAGTAATACCTTTTCCAATTAACCCGAGAATATTTTTTTTATTTTTCTTATCGCCAAAATAACGCAAAATTACCACCCTAGGTTCATAGTGACTACCAGCATTAACAGCCAACAATAAACCCATTTTATTTTTTTCAATCTGTTTCTTATCCAAAATCTCCACTTCAACACTTTTTAGTTTATTAAACTTGCTTTCAATCTCTTCAGCAAACTCTTTGGCATGAAGTTTATTAGGAGGTGTATCCTGCAAATCACGTGCTCAATTGACTGCCTCCATTTTAATAAGAGAATTATTTAAAATTGTTTGTGATTTTTTATTTTTAGTTATCAAATAATAGTCAGCAACTACTTTTTCGTCCTCTTTTTCCTTGTAATTTATCGATTGATGAGCACCAAATAATATTCCTTCGCTAATTGCTTGAATTATTTTTTCCTCAGAAAACTCTTTAGTTATAAAAGAAGGAATTTCAATACTTCAACTCCTTTGGTTATCACTAGCAAAATTAACGAAATAATTATAAAGATTGTGAAAATTATAATTAATGTTCTCCTTATCGAGATATAGATAACAAGTCTTTTCTTCAGAAATTAAAGTAGTTTTTCACTCTTTTTTTTCAACTAAAGGAGATAAATTTTTTTTATCCTTACTAGTAACTACTCGAAGAATCAATAAGTTAACTTTTGCTTTTTCTTGCAGAAATATTTTGACCATTTAGTATTATTTTAATGATTTTACAATAAAAAATACCTTAAACTAATTTTTGCAAAATATTAAATTCTTTGTTTCGGGTTTTCTTTTTCTGTCCTTTTTACTCTAACTAACTTATTTTTAATAGGAACAGAAAGATCTAATTTTTTTTTATTTTTGGCAAAAATTATCTCTCAAACCTCTTCATATTCCCTCACCATTATAATTTTAAGTTCTCGGCGAACCTCTAATGGTATATCTTCGATATCTTTCTCATTAGTTTTAGGAATTATGATAGTTTTTAATCCACTACGATGAGCCGCGATCGCTTTTTCTTTCAGTCCCCCAATTGCTTCGACATGACCATGCAAAGTAATTTCACCGGTCATTCCAACATCTTGCGGAACTCTCTTACTAGTAAGAGCTGAAATAATTGCTGAAGTCAAGGCAATACCAGCACTTGGTCCTTCCTTAGGAATTGCCCCTTCCGGCACATGAACGTGGATACCATTTTGAGAAAATATTCCATGCTCAATACCAAACTTCTTCTGATTAGCTTTAATATAACTAAGAGCAATATGGGCCGATTCTTTCATAATATCTCCTAGATTTCCAGTCAATTCTAATTCTCCCTCCTTACGTGGATAATAAACTACTTCAATAGGTAAAATATCCCCCCCATATCCAGTATACGCTAACCCAACTACTACTCCAACTTGGGGATCTTTTTGTTTTTGGGTAAATTCATACTTTCTTTTTTTCAAATAATCAGATAAATTCTTAGAAGTAATAGTTACCTTTTCAACTTTATTACAAATAAGTTGGACAATGAACTTACGAACAATTAATTGAATCTGTCTACTCAATTCTCGCACGCCAGCTTCGCGAGTATAGTACTCTATTATATCCAAAATAGCTTGGTCCTCGAAAATTATTTGTTCTGAATTCAAATTATACTTTTTTAAACTTTCAGGAATTAAATGTCCTTTGGCAATATAAAGTTTCTCGTCTTTAGTATAAGAAGAAAGCGGAATAGTTTCCATTCTATCTAGTAAAGGTAAAGGTATTTCCCGCGCATCATTAGCAGTGCAAATAAACATTACTTCAGTAAGATTATAAGGTATTTCTTCCCCGAGGTAATTGTCAATAAATTTTTTATTTTGGTTCGGATCGAGAATTTCCAATAGCGCATAAGCTGGGTCACCACGATAATCAGAAGAAATTTTATCAATCTCGTCAATTAGAAAAC